GGGCGCTGGACTCCCCTTTCGCCGACAATCCCCCCGTACCCACTTTGTACCTCCTTCCAGGTCTCCTGTACCCTCCTCTGGGCCAGCTTTCCTTAACACCAGGACCCCCAAGATCCCCTTGAAACCCTTCCCGGGCATCCCGGGTCTCCCATCCCCTTTCCTTAACACCGAGACCCCTCCAGGCTCCCTGGGAACCAGGACCCCTCTCCCAGACGCACCTCACTCCCCATCATCCATCCCACACACTCCTGACACTGCCACCCACACCCCAATCATCTCTGGGACCCCCATCCAGCTTCACTTCCCACCACTGGACCTACACCCCTTAGGCACCCAAAATCATGTCTCCCTCAACTCTCACCACACCCTATGTCCCACAGGGCTCCATTCTCTGCGTTATTTTCATGTTGCGGTGTCAGAACCCAGCCTGGGGGTGCCCCAGTTTGTGTCCGTGGGGTACGTGGATGGGAACCTCATCTCGCGCTACGACAGCGAGACTGGGAGGGATGAGCCCCAGGCAGACTGGATGGTGGACAACATGGACACCCAGTACTGGGACACCCAGAGCCAGATTGCAAAGGACACTGAACAGATTACACGCTGCAGAGCCGCTACAACCAGAGTGGAGGTGAGTGTGGGCTGGGCTGGGGCTCCATGGGGCTGGGACGGAAACCAAAGCGGCAGGAGAGTTCCCACACACCAGGATCCTGCCCCAGCTTGTGCCAGCCCTTCCCTGCCTGGTGTCATTGTCACAGGGCTCCCAGCCACCCTGTCCCCAACCCTGTGGAGGTCCCAGCTGCCCTGTCCCAGCCCCACAGAGCTTGGGATCCACAGAGCCAGGAGTGCTTCTGCCCCCCCGCAGCCCAGCACATCCCCACTCACAGTGTGCCCATCTCAGGACTGATACACTCCAGGCTGCACCTTTCCAGCCCCTTGCTATCCCCACGGCAGTCGAGACCCCCAGAACCAGAGGGGCTCCCAGCCCTTTGCCCTCCCCGTAGTTCTCAGGGCACCCATCTCAGAGCCAGAGGGGCTTCCCCCACCCCATCCCATCTCCGTGCCCCACTGAAGGCCCAGGGCGGCAGCAGCCCCTCAGCCCCCTCTCCCTGGTTGTGTTTCAGGGGCTCACACACTGCAGCGCATGTACGGCTGTGACCTCCTGGAGGACGGTAGCACCAGGGGATATTTGCAATACGCCTACGACGGGAGGGACTTCATCGCCTTCGACAAGGACATGATGACGTTCATTGCAGTGGATGCAGCAGCGCAAATCACCAAGAGGAAGTGGGAGGAGGATGGGACTGTTGCTGAGAGGCGGAAGCACTACCTGGAGCACACCTGTGTTGAGTGGCTGAGAAAATACGTGAGCTACGGGAGGGCTGTGCTGG